ATTTTTATAAAGAATAATAATTATTATATGAAGAAAATGCAATTGTTCAATATGACGATATTTTTTTGGAAAGATATGCGAGAAGTGTCGCCATTATTTTCGGAAATGTTTTTTAGGAAAATGTGTTTTCTCTTATGTCGCGGTTGTGTTTCCGGAACGCCCCGTACATAACTACGAATTTGCAATTTTTACATGAATTCTTCCTCCTGTCATTGAATTCTCATTGACTTTTAATTACTACTTTCTAGTTTTTTCGTTTGGTTTTTGTCGTACAGATTACAAAGAAAATTGACTTAACAATTCTTAACGCCACTAATAATTTTTTTATTTTAAATGTTTTCCTAAAATTAATCACGGGTCAACAAGTATAGTGAATCAGCCTCTGTAGAACGTTTCACTCATAATAACTCATAACTTAAATTGTTTTCAAAAACAAAAATCTGTGATAAATAGAAAATACCTTTTTATCTCTTTACCGGAACACGCCTTCGTGAATGGTGGTAAAGGGGAGGAATTAGTAAAGGAAAGACACCTTGTAAAAAGTGAACAAGTATTTTCAGGTCGGACGAAGCCGCATAGGTGCAGGGAGTGGCGAAAATTTGAAATGCTAATAGTGCCGATGAGGAGACCGTTCGAAACTAACGTAATCATCCTACAACCTTAACTCACTTAAAAGCACTCCTTTAGTGTTCCAGTTCCACCCTCCCCTTTAGTGTTCCAGTTCCACCCTCCCCCCTCTGACCGATGTTCCACCCTCCCCCCTCTGACCGATGGTCGCCTCACCTACACAACTACAATTTTCACCTACACTCCCTGCGCCTCCTTGTTTTCTCTTCTGCCCAAAAACTCTCGTTTAATGTTTTGCAAGGTCTTTTCCGTACATTTACCAAGCCGTCATCTTATTGTATCCTTTTATTTATACTGCTACGAGATTAGAATCCGTTTAAAAAATTTTTCACATTTAGGGACCCGATATATTTTTAATTATAATATCCTAAAAAATTATTCAAACATCCTGGAGGACTGATTTACCCTACTTTTTACTCTACGTTTCAATCATTTTATCGTTACATAATTATAACACTAACTGTTATATAATATGGTTCTTCAAAATTTACTTAGAAGTCTGTGATATATACTACAAAAATAACTTAAGATATTATTAAAACTCAAA